CGGTTTTCAATGCATTTCAATGGATTTTTGGTTTCGTTTGACATTTTCGCTCTACAGTGATTTCGTTGGAACAAATTAACGTCGTCAAGCGAGGCACCACTGTATTTAGTATTTTCAGGCAGTGGATACTGATCCCATGGATGGGGAGGTTCCTAGTGTATTGACGCTGAGGATTCTAATCAATATCAGATGGAAACCAGATTAACATTTCACATATTCACAGTCTTCATTTATCTTCTACCTCCTTTCCAATGAGCTCAAGGTGGTGCACACGGCTTCTTGCCTTCCTACTTTTATTCTTACAACAGCCTAGCGAGGAAGCTCATGTTGAAGGAGGAAGAATGCGACTGGCCAGAGATGACCAGGAATACTAAGAACCTAGATTTCCCAAGTCCCAGTCTAGCACTCTAACCAACATGCCCAAATAACCCAATGCTTGTTTCAGACTCACCGTCTTCGGTGACCGCATAGCCGACTCGTTCTCCGCAGGCTACAGAAGAGGATTTTGGCAGTCCCGGGATGATGGTCGGGGTGCTCTTCTCCGAAACTCCCTCTCCCAGGCCTAACATGCCATAATCTGCCCTGCCCAGACTATATACCGTTCCTGTTCAAAGGCAGCAGAAAAAGAGACAACCCACAGATCACTCCATTAGGAGAAGGACAGTAAGGTCTGATGGAAAATCAGAAACAGCAGGGATACAGCAGAAGCCCATGTGTGGGATTTTCTGATTCCACTCCCCCAATTCATTATATAACTGCCAGAATTGAGCAGGAATTACCCCAGTTAGAATTCTAGCAATTTTACTTAAAAAAAATCAAATCAAATTTCAAAATCCTCACTGGTGATTCATTAGGTCCTGTAGAGGGTGCCACTCTAAAAACTACCAGTGCTCTTATCATGTTTAGCTGTCCCCATGGAGTTTCAAAAACTCTAGCCACATCCGTGCTTTAATGACTGTCTGAAGAAAGACAGCAAGGAACAAGCGAGGACTCTGAAATTGCTTTGAGAACTTTGCTTTTCTGGCTTAAACTTACAGAATTTTAACTTTAGGTACTCCTGCTGAGTCCTGCTAGCTGTAGTGAACCCCCGCCATGCCTAAAAGCCACTGGAGATTGGGAAAGTCACATTTTTGGACTATAGCTTCCAGAATCCCTCCAGATAGTTATGTTCTGAGAAAGCAACTTTTCTGAACTCTGTTTGAGATCGTAAAGAAATAATCCCATTCCCCACGATGAGATCATAATCACAATCTTAGAACTGCAAAGCTGGAAAAGACCCCTATGGATCATCAAGTCTAGCACAGTGGGGAGCTGATCTCGCAACCTCTGGCTTCAAGGCCAGATACATAAACAACTGAACTATACAGATGAGAAGCCCATATTTCAAAACCCCAATTCCACCAAGGCAAAACATCTCCACCCACTTTTACCAGCTATCTTACAACTCCGTTTCTCCAGAATGTAGGGATTTTTGCAACCCTATGGATCATCAAGTCTAGCACAGTGGGGAGCTGATCTCGCAACCTCTGGCTTCAAGGCCAGATACATAAACAACTGAACTATACAGATGAGAAGCCCATATTTCAAAACCCCAATTCCACCAAGGCAAAACATCTCCACCCACTTTTACCAGCTATCTTACAACTCCGTTTCTCCAGAATGTAGGGATTTTTGCAACCTCCCAGGTTTCCTCTAGTAGGTGTGGCTGGGAGGGACCTTTCCAGGTTGGGGTGACAATCACCAACAGCAGTAATCAATAGTTTCTTCCCTGCCTCTGAATTCAAGGAGAGCCCTTTCTCTCTGCTCTGAGTTCTTTCCCGCTCTAAAGTCTGTTGAAAGCAGTGAGTCTGTTGAGATCTTTTTGCTTTAGCTTGCTGTTATCTGTTCCCTGTACATACACAAGACATTTTTACTCTTTCTCCTAATAATGTCTCAGAGGGGGCTATTAAGACTGTAAGTGCCAGTTGATGACGGGTAAAAAAAGGGTGGACTACTCTGGGGAAAACCTGCTCTCTGAATCCCTGCACATCTGCTGTGCAGCTGGAGGAATTGAACCACAAATTCAAGACCCTGCAACAAATATTGCCAAATGCCACCAAAGCCCTTTGAGCACCTTACCTTCAGAATCAAGGCACACCGTGTGATGTTGCCCAGCTGAGAACCCAACCCAGGATTTGGTGGAGTTCTTGAATGCTGTCAGAATCTTCGGGGAATAAAAGGTGTCAATTCCTTGAGAACCTGAGATTAGCAAGGAAATACAGGAAGGTTAATGCTGAATGAGAAAGAAACTAGTACAGATGAAGCACTTGGCCACCAAAGGAGAGAATTCTACACACGGGAAGAGCGGGCTGGCTAAGAGCGATGTCTGCAGAGATCCATCAATGTACAGTCGTGCCTCGCTTGATGATGTTGATTTGTTCCAGCGAAATCGCTGTAGAGCAAAAACATCGTCAAACGAAATTTAAAAACCTCATTGAAACGCATTAAAAACTGGTTAATGCGTTCCAATGGGCGAAATACCTGCTCGTCCAGCGAAGATCCTCCATACGGCGGCCATTTTGGGGTGCTTGTCTTGTGAAAAATGGGTCCTAAAAACAGCGGGGAGCCATTTTGAGCAGCTGGCGGCCATTTTGAAAACCCAATGATCAGCTGTTTTGATCGTCGTAATGCGAAGAATCGGCTCCCGAAGCAGGGAACCGATCATCACAAAGCAAAAAAATCCCATTAAATCCCGCAAAAACATGGCCGTGAAGCGAATTCATCGTTATATGGGGTAATCGTTAAGCAGGGCACGACTGTATTCAGAACAGGTAAGGGAAGAATAATCTTCCTCTGCCAGTCCCAAACAAGTCAGTGGTGGTGGAGGAATGTGTGCGTGTGGGGACGATCTTAGGTAAGTAAATTTTGTGGGTTGATGCACAAGGCTGAAGTCCCATTTTTACAATGCTTTCAAGTGTTCAAAGTACTTCAACGCAATTTGTACACTTGAACTTTAAGAAACGAAGGATGGTCCCACAATGCCGCGGAGCCTGACAGAAGCTGTCATTCAACCACCTGGTGGGGACCAAGTTAGGAAAGGCTGGGCTGGGCCTTTTTTTCCCCACTGTTGGAACGGTTGTTGGGGAAAGGCTGTTGCATTTCTATTCTCCGTCACAGTCTAGGGGTAAAAATTGGTTTGGCTGACGGGTGCCCGAATCACACAGCCAGCAGGGCCAAGCGCTGTCTGTGGGGCATCTCCCCAGGGCAAGAGCAACCAAGCCTACCCACCATTCTCGCCTTCCTGTTGCACAGATCTGGGATTGTTAAAGGACCAGATCCGATGTTAGATCACTCAGTGCACCCCAAGTCTCACCCGCTGGTTCTGGAAGCAACTCACCCAGCTGGTAGTAATTGGAAAGGCCAAACCCAATGACGTGGCCCTCTTCGGTGATGGCAATTGTTAAATAGGAACCACAGAAGACGTCCCGAATGTGTCCCTTCGTCTTGTAGCCTCTCTGTTTGATGGTGACGGCTTGTGGGAGCAGCAGCCGCTCTGGGACACGTGAGAAGAGGTTTAGAAGGGGATCAAGTCAATAGGAGGGAATAGGAGGGAGGGAATAAAGGTTTTCACACACACACCACACACACACACACACACAGAGACAGACAGAGACAGAGACAGAGAGAGAGACAGAGAGAGAGTCTCTGTCTCTCGCTCTCTCTCCATGAATAGCTGTATCTTCCAGAAAGCTTCTTCCACCTGAATTCCTTCCAAGGAAGCAACCCTAGGATCTAGGCCCTATCAAGGCTGAGCAAGCGTGAGGGGGAAATTTATTTATTTATTTGTTTTATACCCCACCCATCTGGCCTATAAGACCACTCTAGGTGGCTTCAAATATACTATAAAAAAGAGTCTTCAACAGAATGTAGACAACCACACCTGTTTGACAGTGCCACAAGAGGAAAGAGGGCCAGGGGGTGGGTTCCTTACAATCTTATCCTCTGCAACTTGCTTTCCTATTTTTCCACCCCACAGCACGACACGAATACTGTACCTGTTCAGTCACTTCTCTTTTGTAGGGTAAGCCCACCCTTTGGGGATTTTAAAAACGTTTGAATAAATAAATAAATAAATAATATTGAAAAATTCAGGGTTCGCTCTTGAAAGCTGCTGACAAAACTAGGAAAAAGAGCCTCCAAATGTATACTTCAGCTACCCTTGGACCCCACCTTTGACAATGCTGGAAATGAACCATGTGACCCCTTGAACTGATACAGCAAAGCTCTTTTTTATTTTGTTAAGAACAACAGATGCATGGCCCTGAGAACCAATAAAAGAATGAATGTAGCAAAGCCAATTCCATCTTTTCTCTGGCCATCAATTCTGTCTCATTCAATACTATTAACTGTTTCAGCCAGGTTGTAAACAACAGATGGGAACCCTAAATGCCCACCCTCTACTTACATGGACTCAGAGACCTCATGTCTTTCCACATTCATTCATACATGCAGACAATATGTATGGTTATTAAACCTAAACTTCTGGGTCAGCTTTCATTGAATCTTATGCCTGGGTTTTGCCTCTGATGATTTGTTGTGTGTCTTTCTGTTGGTTTGTGGACACCTGGATCTTATTTGTTCCTTTCTATATGCAACGTAAGTACAAGAAAGATAAATAAACCTTTCTCCTCAATGCAAGGTACAACAAGAGACAAGTATTTCTTCTGAAAAGAGTCAGAGAAAATCCGCATGTTTTGCAAGTGTTACTGTAAAATGTACCCTACTGGAAAATGCATTGATTGTTGCATGAGCTAGTAAAAGCAATAGCACTAGACAGACTGATGATGTCTTTGTCATCCATTGCTCATCTTGTTGTGCTGGCTCTCTGTGCATGCTTTGTTTTAAAAAAACAAACTAGTTTTGTGCAGAGACAGGAGCATTAGAAAAACTATATAATAATAATATAATTTATTGTCATTGTAAGTATATACACAGTATATAACGAAATTCACAGACACCCAGAGACCAGACACATGCACACACATAACATTCCCCAAACACTCCCCACCCACTAGAAATCCCCCACTAAAAATACAAACATCTACACCTCAGGCCAAGTAACATATTTTATGCAAACTGCAAAAACCAAGTACACATTTGGTCTTTGAGAGTCAAGATCTCTCAGGGGAGTTGAGAATCCTTGAAACCCCGCTGCCAAGAGCCACTGTATGAGCTACACACTCAGCAAAAGCAAGGTTTCTTCCTATTCCTATCTCAAAGCAACACTGCAAAGCTCAAGGCAAGCAACTTACCCAAACCTCTTCTTCCCCCTCGCATGGCGAAGATTTGGGGCACTCGGCCAAGCTGGCCATTGTCTCCACAACCACACGTGTACAAGTTCCCTGTCGTGGACACCAATGCCAAATGATGGCTTCCTGGAAAAGGAAAGAGAAAAGGAGTGGAGGTAGAACGTCGGGCTTCCCTTTCTGGAGGGTTTATTCTCCAGATCCATCCGCAACATTCTGTTAGATTCAATGCTGTGGTAAACGTGACCGCTGGTAATTTTAGTTGGAGCACTTAAGCTCTCTCAAGAGTTATTTGTGCTTCAAAGACAGTCAGAAGCTTACAAGAGAGACACCTATAATTCTATACTTGGCATATGAAATACTGTATTTGCTATATGGAATATACCATTCTAAGTGTTCTTATATAGAAGAACCGCATATAAAATAATACAGAAATAAAGTTAATAAGGGCAAAGAAGAACAGATTTCCCCTTATTTCAAGACTTAGGTATTTAAGCCGTTTGGATGCTTCTTATGAAGGTTGCCCATGTACTACATGGATACTATGAGTGAGAAAGATCTTGGAATTACTGTGGATCAAAAGCTGAATATGATCCAACAGTGTGATATGGTTGCAAATAAAGACAAATGCTATTTTGGGATGCATTAACAGAAGCATGGCCTCCAAGCTACACGAGGTATTAGTTCCCCTCTGTTCAGCACTGGTTAGGCCTCATCTAGACCAATTCTGGACACCACACTTCAAGACGGATGCTGACAAATTGGAACAAGTTCAGAGGAGGGCAACAAGGATGGATGAGGGACTGGAAACGAAGCCCTAGGAGGAAAGACTGAAAGAATTGGGCATGTTTAGCCTTGAGAAAAGAAGACTGAGGGGAGATAGGATAGTACTTTTCAAATGCTTGAAAGGCTGTCCTACAGAGAAGGGGCAGGATCTGTTATCCCAGAGTGCAGGACGCATAATAATGGGATCAAGCTAGAGGAAGCCAGATGTAGGCTGAATATCAGGAAAAACTTCTCAACTGTTAGAGCAGTATGACAGTGGAACCAAATACCTTGGGATGTGGTGAGTGCTCCAACGCTGGAGACATTTAAGAGAAAATTAGACAACCATCTGCCAGGTCAGTTTATTGGGTTCCTGCACTGAGCAGGGGATTGGACTCAACAGCCTGATAGCCCCTTTCCAACTCAGTTATTCTCAAAGAAAGATGGCCAAACAGTCAAAGTGCCCCCTCACCCGCATGAGGGTGAAATGCAAGTCCCACCAATTTTCTTACCAATATTATGTTGAGTAAGGCTAAGGGGAGATGCAGTTTGACAACAGCCCTGGCCTAAAGAGAGTGAAAGCAAATGAAGAGCCAAGCTTTCTGTGGCTGCTATTTATGGGAAGGCAAGCACGGTGAATGGCACATGTTGCTAGGCATCACTTCCTATCACAAACCTGAGGCTATTCTAACAATAGGGACCTCCAGCTGCAGCTCCACAGGAATAGGGCTACCAGTTGCCGACTCTATATCCTCCTCCCCCTTCAGAGGAGCCAGTAAGCCAATGACTCCATTCTCATCCTGAAAGAGAAGAATGCGGAAAAGAAAGAGAAGATTAGTAATCTGCTCCTCAGCAGCATGGGTCACTTCTGAGATAGTTTTGTTGTTGTTTAGTCATTAAGTCGTGTCCGACTCTTCGTGACCCCATGGACCAGACCACACCAGGCCCTTCTGTCTTCCACTGACTCCCGGAGTTGGGTCAAATTCATGTTGGTTGCTTCAATGACACAGTCCAGCCATCTCATCCTCTGACGTTCCCTTCTCCTCTTGCCTTCACACTTTCCCAACATCAGGGTCTTTTCCAGGGAGTCTTCTCTTCTCATGAGATGGCCAAAGTATTGGAGCTTCAGCTTCAGGATCTGTCCTTCCAGTGAGCACTCAGGGTTGATTTCCTTCAAAATTGATAGGTTTGTTCTCCTTGCAGTCCAGGGGACTCTCAAGAGCCTCCTCCAGCACCACAATTCAAAGGCATCAATTCTTCGGTAGTCAGCCATCTTTATGGTCCAGCTCTCACTTCCATACATTGCTATCTGAGATACTACCAATGTGGAAATCTTATTCTGGAGGGCGAAAACCTCCACAGTACTCCATTTTAAGGTCTGTTAACTAGCACTCATATTGACAGCAGTCAAGGCTGATGACAAAGGGAGTCTAATAATGGGGTGGGGGGGGCAGATTACCCAACCTAGTTCAAAACTCAAATGGGTAACATACCCGGAAAGCACCCCAGATGAAAACACGGCCATCTTCTGTCAATGCTGCCGTATGGCTGTCCCCCGCAGACACCTGCACCACCTTCTCCTTCAAATCAACCAGCCCCGGGACGGAGTCAGAACCTTCCTCTGAAGTGTCTCTGCCCAAGGCACCCTCATCGTTGCAGCCAAAGGTGTAAATCTGTGAACAAAAATGTCTATGAAGCGAAGGAGAAAGCCAGAGAATATATTGCCACTTTTTCAATAACTGAAAAACTACTCAGAAACCCACAGCCAGCACAGCCCCTGTAAAATAAAAACATAGCTTTGCTAAACTCCACAGAACTGAGACCAGGACGGCAGCCCGAGAAGAGTTTTGAAAAAGAAGAGGGAACTCTTCCACATCTTCAAACTACAGTATAGGACCTCCTTATCTGCAGGGTATCAATTCCAAGCCCCCCATCACAGATGCTAAAAAACCCAAATTAGAGAACACACTGTTTAATAGCATGGTCTCTGGCTACCTCTAGTGGCTAGTTCTGGTAACTTCACCTTTAGACATACATACAGTATTTCTAGGATTTTTCTTTTAATATTTTTAATATTTCCAAAACTGTGGATAGGTGATTCAGCAGATAGTGATCCTGCAGATAAGGGGGTCCTCCTGTAGCTTAAGCCACTGGCCTTCAGCTGGTGAACTCGGGCCCACCCATGCGTGACACCCGTATTATTACTACAAAATGTTCGGAGGGATGGTGAAGACCATGTGTTGATTGATGGATGGCAGCTCCCACCCACCCGCTCATCACAAACAACAAACTGCCTTCTCCACTTCAGAGCTTTTCCTCTCTATTCTTCCTTTTCCATTCCAACAATATCCAAAAAAACATTCCCTACCTTTGTTTAAACCAGTAATGGGTTTAAACAAAGGATACATGAAAAAACAGTGATTCAATTAAATAAGTGTTCTGAGCTACTAGCAGATGCAAAGAAAGATATATATGCACATCACACTCAGTGTGTATGTAAAATGGAGTGCAGTGTGCATACGTAGAAATACAAAAGAAGGAGCAGGTTAGCAGCAGCCACTTTCAGAGGGAAGGACAACGTATGTGGAGGAATCTGACAAGAACTGTGCTGCACCAGTAAAAAGCCGGAAGAAAGCAATCAGGAGAATGAGACGGCAGTGTACTTATTGCTTATTTGTGCTATTAATTACATCTGTATCATCTGTTTTATGAATGAGCTCAAGGTATGGACATTATGCATAACTCATATGGTCTAGTCTAGCTTGGCAACAACGGTATGAGTTAGGTCAACATGGGAGAAAGAGATTAGCTTTAGTGGCAAGTTCTGGTAATGCAGCTGAAAATAATTTTTCTGGTGTTTTCTTTCTCTTCTACCACACTATAATTCACTATTATCCATGGTTTCCAGTATCCACAGCTTGGAACCATTCCACAGCAAATACTGTCGTGCCCCGCTGGACAATTACCCCGCTCTACGACGAATCCGCTTTACGTTGACGTTTTTGCAATCGCTTTTGCGATCGCAAAATGATGTTTTAAATGGGGTTTTTTCGCTGTGCGATGATCGGTTCCCTGCTTCAGGAACCGATTTTTGTTTTACAACGATCAGCAAACAGCTGATCGTCAGGTTTCAAAATGGCCATCGGCTGAAACAGCCCCCCCCCCCGCTGTTTTCTAGGACGGACTCCTTGCTTTATAGGCACCAAAAATGGTCGCTGTACGGAGGATCTTCACTGGATGAGCAGGTATTCAGCCCATTGGAATACATTGAACGGTTTTCAATGCGTTTCAATGGGTTTTTTAATTCCGTTTGACATTTTCGATCTAGTGATTTCGCTGGATCGAATTAACATCATCAAGCGAGGCACCACTGTCTTACTGTATCCATCTGTCTGTATGTCACAGGCAAATTGAGATTCCCATTGCAATTCTTTTCTAAAGCACGGGGGTACAACTTTGTGTGTCTGCTTTGTTTAAAAGCAGAGCAAATTGCAAGGGAATGTGGGCCAAATTAGCCCATGCACCCAAGGAAGTTACTGGCTCCCATGCTAGAGCAGCTGGCCATCTAAACACACACTACCAAAGCCACGAATCATCCGAAAGTGGGTGGAGAAAGTTGTTTCAGATTCACCTTGCCTGTCTCGCTGAGGCACACGGTGTGAACACCACCTGCTTCGGCCTGGATGATTTTCTCAGGGAGCTTCACCACGGCGGGCCTCTTCCGGGCAAGCACATCCGGCCCAAGGCCGAGCTGTCCAAGGTCCCCTTGTCCCAAGGTCAGTACCAGCCCAGGCTTTGATTGGTGTGATGGGTGACTGACTAGATAAGGGGAACAAGGCATGAGTGAAAGAAAGAAAAGGCAATCTTCAATACATGTTGCAGAAAAAAAGCAGAAGAGCAGTTGTTGCAAACCCAAGTCAGAATCGGAGAATAACTGAGTTGAAAGGGGGCTATAAGGCCATCAAGCCCAATATGACTACCTTTCAAGTCTCTGAAAAGTGCTATCATCTCTCCTCTCAGTATTCTTTTCTTAAAGCTAAACATGGCCAGTTCTTCCAGTCTTTCCTCATGGGGCTGGATTCCCAGTCCCATGATCCTCCGAGGGCAACAAGAACTTGCTCCAGTTTGTTGGCATCCTTCTTGAAGTGCGGTGTCCAGAACTGGGCACAGTAGCTCCCTCTTTACCTAAATGACTCAAGTGGCCCTTAAATGCTTCCTGTAGGGAAGTCAGTCCTTATGTTATTAAGAAAAGACACTCTTTATTTCCACACACTTTTATCAAGAAACATCAGAATTCTCTGTGTGATGTTTGCCTCTGCTGCTAAAAGTTTACTCTGTGCTGTTGCGCTTGCGCTCACTGCATCACAGATGAGAGGGCCCTCACTTGCAACAGCTTGCTCTATAGCCTACCACATTTCACAACCAATCCAGTGTTATTCAACGTCCTTCCCCAAAGTCTAAAGCTCAGTTTAATGACATCTGTCTCTCTGGTGCAACACCAGAGGAAGTAGAAGAGGACAGAGTGAATGGATGGAGAGAGAAAGGAACAAGTCAGCCATTGATGGAAGGAGGAAGTGCTGGCGTCCCATATTCCACGTATCACCTCTTAGCACCCATCCAGCCCAGAGGACCCCCAAGAGGAATTTGAGAGTAGGCAACCCAGAGACTTGTCTGTCCTTTTGACGCCCAGACTTCTACTTCCTCCTACATCCATTTTCATCATTTCAGGCAGCAGATAAGTGAAACTGCGGATGCCGATCCCATGGATACAGGGTCCTACTGTATTACAGGAAAGAAAGATTTGGTGTGGACAACTTTAAAGGAGGGCACACAAAGGGTGCCATTCCCCTGTCATGAACTGCATGGTCAGAAGTAAAATAATAAAGACTGAACGATTGCACACCCTAGGATGATTAAATACAGTGGACCCTCGACTTACGGAATTAATCCGTATTGGAACGGTGGCTGTAGGTTGAAAAGTCTGTAGGTCGAGTCTCCATTGACCTACAATGCATTGAAAACCGATTAATCCCGTAACCAGTCCTTTTTTGTTCCATTTTGGTTCTTTTTCCGGTCTGTCGGTCGATTCTCTGGCTGCAAGTCGAACCTAAATTTTGCAGCCAGAGAAGTCTGTAACTTGAAAAGTCTGTAAGCCGAGGGTCCACTATAAGCAACAAATATAAACTTCCCAGCTTTTTCTAAATAAAATTTTATATAACAAGATGTTTGAAAAAATGTTTTTTCCAAACTACACACACCTTTACTAAAACCCTAACATACTTAGGAGACAAACCCCAGTGATTAGTGATTATCTCTTCAAGCCAGTGATAGACAAAAGCATGCTGGTTGGGACACTCTGAAAACTAGAATCTGAAAAAGGACTGAATGAACAAAGAAATGGAGAAAGTTCTTGCGTTGGAAGAGGTTTACATGAAGGACTGAGAGCAACATCTCACCTTTAGTCCGCTTCACTTTGAGAGCATCTTCTTTTTCCAAAACCCGTTTTCTTGGCATGTTTCTTTAAAGCTGGGGGTGGGGGGAAGGAAGAGGAAGAAAGCAATAGATGAGTATGTCCCCTTTAAAAACACTTGCTCTGGTTAAAACATAGGACAGAGGCCCTCAGATGAAACTATATATACCCATACTAGAGATGCACTTGAACCTCACAACCGATGGTTTGTGGCTATCCATGAACTGTTGCAAATTCCCTAAAAACTGGACTGGTTCAACCGTTCCTTTTTCAGGTTTGTGCCAGGCAGGATCACCCACCAGCCCCCTTCCCGCTGCTCCCCCCCGTTGCGTCCCTACTTGGTCCTGCCACCTTCTCTACCATCACCGCCATCACTGGTCAGAAACAGTGGGGCCAGCTTCCCTTCCACGGCAATGCAGGCAGAAGGAGGTAGGCTGGCATCTGTTTTGCCAAAACAAGATGAAGCAATGACATGGGGAAAGTGGGTGGAGAAGGACGTTCACCGCTTCATTTTGCTTCAGCAAAACAGGATCTCCAAACTGGGTTGCAAACCAAACCAGCCTGATTTGATGGTTTTTCTGGTTCGTGGTTTGGTTACCCGTAGCATCTGAGAGTTGATTTATAACATTTGACTGGACAAAGATTCCCCATCACTTACTTAGGGAACAAGGAGCAACTGTTGGGGACAACTTAGCCCCTCATGCTCCAGATATAAATCCAAATTTTGGGCTAGAAGGACTTTGGGCATTGTTAGCCTCTTGGAATACCTCTTTGAATTTTCAATGAAAACACAATAATAATTACATAATGTCAATTCAATTCTGACTTATGGTGGCCCCTCCCAAAGTTTTCTAGGTAAAAAGTGCTCAGAAACTGTTTATTCCGGGGGAGTATTCTGAGACTGTATAGCTTGCCCAAGGCTACACAGACTAGTTCTTCTCCATGAAGACACAAGTGAGAGCACTATTTCAAAGTGTGTACCTCGAGAGATTCTCTACCGAGCCAGAGAATCAAACTCCCAACCTTGGCCTCCACAACCAGGAGCCTATTTAATTAAATCAAATGCAGTTTATTTTTCTTATGTTCTTCTGAGGCCCCCGGACCCTAAGAAGGTACATAAGTGCTTGATCATGGTAAGAACAGCTAATGATGAACACAAAAGCTGAGCAGAAGCTTCTACTCACTTCTCCAGGCTTGATACAAGTATTTTGGCTACTTACAGGAACAACCTAAGTCCCCACTGCTGAAGAATTTGGCCAAAGGACAGTTGACACTAACCAACTGACTGACAGCTGGCTTTACATGAATGCAAATCTTTGTGACACTGCATTTGTTACAGTACTTTAAATAAAATTCTTGCTCCCCAAGTGTTGAGCAAACTTGAGCCTAAGTCAGAAGTGGAATCTCTGGTCTGGTAGGGTGAGTTTGAATTTGTAAATATTAAAAATCATATTTTTTGGAATTTAAATGTAAATACATCTTTTTTAAAAATTGAAATTGTAATTTTAATCATTTTGAGTTTTAAAAATCATTGCATTTTATCCACTCTGTGCTCCAGTGTTTTCAGATTGAAGTCCCTATAATCTCTCGCTGCTGTCTATGCTGGGAGATACCGTGCAACATCTGGAGAACAGTTACCACCTCTGGTTTAACTGAGGACATTTCAAAAAGCAAAGCACTCCCTTTGTTCATGTTTGCCCAGGACCGTTTGACATGGTTCCTGGCCAGAAAGAACGTGAACAATAGTGTACACAGTACACTGCTAACCACAGGGCCACCTGTTCAGTAACTTATACCCTGAGAAGTATCAGACACAATCCGAGAAGACAACTGCAATGTTCTTAAAGCAAGGAGTATGAGAACAGGATTTGACACATCACACAGAGTTGCTTGAACTAATTTCAGTTTCAAACCTAATGATCAGGAACACCGCACAAATAACTGGATTAGAGGAAGCAAGATCAACACAACTAGACACAACTAGGCACTTTATAGCATTGCCATCTGAGCAGCTGTCAACAAAACCAAGGTTTAACCACCTGCTGAATGCTTTTTTTTCCCTTTTAACAAACAGAACACTGCAGGAAGAAAAGGTATTTCAACAGATCTTTTTTTGCTCATCTTTTGTCCCAGTCAATGTAAAAAAAGATATACAGTACTCCACACCATTCTGATGCAGATGGGCAGAAGCACCTTTACGGGGCTGACAGTAGCTAGTCTTCATTCAATAAATAATGTGACTCATTGTGTCACCAAAAAATTCAGTAAATTGTTGTGAAGGTCCAGCAATATCAGACCTCTGTGACAAAGACACAACTGTGCAATGTTCTGCACCTGTTGAAAGCATAAGAACTCTGTTAGGAAACAAAGAGGGGACTGTACAGAAGTTGATTATGGAAGAGGGCAAGGCTGTCTCTAAGTGGCTAAGCCTCCTGCCCACTTCCTCATTCAAATTTCTTTCTGCTAGAGAATGAACAGAGTGTCAGACTAGGATTTGGGAGATCTGGGTTCAAATCCCCCCTCAGCCACGGAAACTCACTGTGGTGGGGCAATGAAAACCCCCTCCTTGAATATCTCACATAATTACATGAAAACACTCCTAGGGTGATAATAAGTTGTCACATAAAAGCAATAGAATTAAAAAGTCCAGGCATTCTCCACTTTACTCTTACCGTAAGAGCCCTCCTTTTGTAAAATAATCCTTATTCTTAATGACCATGATGCAGAGATGTAGAGCTATGCAACATGATGACAAAATGATTTAGGCATATAGCAGAAAATCAAAATTAATAATGGTATGCTGTCAATTTGACTAAGACTCACAGTGACCCTTTTCCAGATTTTGCTAGGAATTTAATACTGAGAAATGGTTTACCATTCCCTGGGACATTTGCTGATGGACAATCTCAATCACTTAGACCAATCACCCACATACCCTTTATGGCCAAGGTGATCCAATGGGTGGTTATCTGGAGAACTGCCTTGACCCATTCCATGGTCTGGGTTCAGGCAGTGGTGAAATATTGAGATAGCATTGATCATGCTGCACAATGACCAAAAAGGAGGCCAACAGAGGAAGATCTATCCTCTTAGTGCCCCTGCGGCTTTTAATATAATCGACCATAATATCCTGCTAGGCTGGATCTCGGATATGGGGATTGGTGGTGAGCTGGCTCTGATCCTTCCTTAACGGCCAGGTTGAGACAGTTCATCTTGGGGATGAATTGCTGGTCCCTTGGACCCTCAATGGTGGGGTGACCTGGGGTCATCTATACCCCCAATGCTCTTTAACATCCATGCAAAGCTGCTGGGAGAGATCATCATGAATAAGGCGTCATCAGTTCCCTGATGATACACAACTCTCTACTCTACCACCTCGGCAGTGAATGCTATCCAGACACTTGAGCGATATCTGGTGTTGGTCTTGCAATGGACAAGCAGGCTCGAACATGAACCTAGACAAGACAGAGATTTTGCTCCTGGAGAGGCCATCAGATAGGTGTGTTTGTGTGGAATTAACCCTAGACTGGATGGTATGGGCCTCCTGTTTAGGGATCAAATCTGTAACCTCGGTGTGCTTCTGGTCTGTGCTGGGACTCCCAAACTGCAGCTGCATCCACAGCAGCCTTTAACCAGCTAAGGCTCATCACCCAATTCCGCCCCTATCTAGATGAGGGAGCCCTCAGGATGTTGGTGCCCGCACGGGTCATTTCCCAGATCAACGACTCCAGTCCTCTCTAGGTTGGGTTTCCATTGAGGCTGACCTGGTGACTACAGAAGATCCAGAATGCCGTGGCCAGACTGATGGCTGGCGCCAGCAAGTTTGATCCTATCTTCCCAGTTCTTGCTCACCTGCACTGGCTACCCACAGTGTTCCGGGCCAGGATTTTAATTCTCACTTATAAAGCCCTCCATGGTTTGGGATTGAGGTACTTGGACCATTTTCCTGTAAGGTCATCTACCCACTCCACCAGTTCCTCCCTGGCCATGCTCCTCTGAAGGAAGCCAGAAAATGATTCACAAGACGTTGGGCCTCCTTCACTATCATTCTTGTTTGGTTTTATTTATCATGTTCTGTAAACAGAATAGCGCCTTACACTAATAGGGTGGTATATTTGTTAAAAACAAAGAAATAAATAGACCAGTGGCTCTCAACCTCTGGTAACCTGGGTGTTCCTGGACTGCAATTCCCATAAGGCTTCACCACCAGCTGTGCTTGCTGGGGTTTCTGGGAGTTGCAGTCCAAAAAACACCTCGGTGACTTAAAGTTGCCTAAGTGGCAAGCCTTCGGATCTCCATGTTTTAGAAGGCAATCTCTACAATTCCTTAACATTTGCCAAGCCTGCTGATAGCGCTTTTAAAACTTTCCCCCTCCCAGCTTTACTTTTCAAAGGATTTCTTAGGAGAAAAAAACCTCACCCTGTGGGAAACAAATCGGCT